AAGCTGGAAAAGGTTGGCAGCCGAAGAAACTGCAAGTTGTGCTACGAGAACACTAAAAATGAAGTGAAAACAAATGTTTTTTGCAGCACCTGTGAAGCACATCTCTGCTTTACCACCACCCGCAACTGCTTCTCCAAGTGGCACATGCGTCATGGGCGCTAAGATGAGAGCCCGCTAAAAATATACTTTTTATCTGAGAATGTTTAAATTTGAAAATATTACTCTTGATATTACAAGCTACAATTTGTATATTTCAGTTTTGTTTTAATCTGAATGCTGTAATGTATAAAAGCAGTTTTATATCTTCTCTTGTATACTTTCTTCAGTTTTCCTCAAATTTCAGAAATAAATTATGAAACAATATGAGGTTGTTTACTTTGAATTTTATTGCATTATAAAAACACGTGAATGGGCTACATTTTCATATAGAATAACCCATTGTACGCACAACAGTTTCTGATAAAAAAATATCATGTAGACACACATTGAAAAGGCCAGTTTTCTACGGTAAGAAAAGAGTTAATTATATTAGCAATTACCTTTGTAAATAGTTTGTGGAGAACAGACAGTAAGCTGTTCAACCGGTAATTTTTCAAGTCCTTGATGTTTCCTTTCTTATAGATTAAAATGCTGTTGGCATTCTTGCAAGATTCTGGTACCCTCCCCGTAAAGAGACATTTTGTATACAGAGTGGCCAGCTTTTTTTCATAAACAATCTCGGCATCATCTTTCAAAAAATCGGGTTTTACCTTTTCATCACAGTGGCTTTGCCTCTTTACATTCCTTCTAGGACTTTCCTTACTTCCCCTGTCATTACTGGTAGGATGTCGAATTCCTCCGGGCTATCATTGCTTCTTACGATATCATCCTGGTTGTTTCTGCTTCTGTACAGCTCTCTGTAGAACTCCTCTGCCACCTCAACTATCTTATCCATATTGGTTGTGACCTTGCCTTCCTAATATCTTAATGCCTTCTTTATTTTTTCCAATGCACGGTTTTGCCTTCACAGCTTTTAGGCTCATGCTCTTTACAGCATGCGCAATTCTCTTCATGCTATACTTTTTAAAATCAGCAAACTTACGCCTATTGATTAACTACAAATGCTCTGCCATCTCTATTACTGCGATAGCAATTATATGGACACTCTACACTGGATTTTGCCGCCGGCATCGGCGTCACCGTCACTAATATAGGTATATGTATCTATATATATGTAAACAGAAGAAAAAAATGATAAAGAAAAAGACTGCGGCACGCGAAGTCGAACGTGGGACCTCTGAATTGTGAATGCGAGGCGTTGACCACTGAGCCACCGAGGAGCACCTCCTTCAACGTTGAAACAGCAACCTATTTATATCTGCCACTTACCGCTGTTGACGGGCATCTCGGGGGGAACTATCGTGTTTTCAGCATTACCAGCAAGATTGCGCAATGAGCACGCGTCACCACATCATCACGAAGCGGCGGCACGCGCTCTCATTTCTTACGCGTACATTGCCCCACGAAGAGGAGGGGGTGGACGCTCACTCACACGCTCTTATCTCGCGGTGGGGAAGATCGAACATCCTGGCTGGCGTTAGACTTTCACTAGAACGATTCTGTGGTAGTTACCAGGCGCACAAAGGTCACTGCAATGGTTGCACAGTCTCCGTTTGCGAAAATGGTGTGCTTTTCAGACACAGCGAAGTAACAATTGAGATGCTTATTTGCGTTCATCTGTATCTGTGAGTACGTTTCGTGCTTAATTTCTGCGTGACAAATGCAGGGCACGTTTCGATCTGCTCGCCATTCTGCGCGTGACCTTCCCATTTGTTGCTCTCGCATTCATTGCTTCGCCTTTGCGGCAAAACTGTGCCTTTTTTTTTTGTCCGTTGTAAAACCTCCCACATGAATACACCAATTAACCCTCAGCCCTCAATCTCCTGCACCTGGGAAGCAATGACCAAGGGGAGAGTAATTACACTCCAGCAAACAAGCAAAGCGATATCTATATGAAAGTAACACGTTTATCAAGCCTGCATAACTGCATATGTGTTCAAGCACTATGACATGCTGTGCATACGTGCCATAGCCTAAAACTGGTTCCAGGTTCTAATACCCCTGTCACACGGCCACCAACAAACTCCGTCGAACACCGTCAACGTAAATCTCTCCTAGGGAGTTCGACGGAGAAGGAGTTGTGGCAGTGTCACACGGCAATGAGAAGGTTGCAACAGTTGCCGCAAGGGGGCTCAGCTGGCGCTGTTTGATTTTCGGAAAAGCATTCTAATATCATCTCTATTGATTTTTTTGTGAATCCTTATTGTGCGGTTTTTACAAAAAAGCACTATTAAGTAAGTATGCGACTAACAAACCATTAAAAAATAATTTAAAAAAAACGCATTTGCTAAATTTAACAATCCTGCTAGTGACGCTGGCCACATTGTGCTTTTAGTTGTTTTTTTGCCGGTATACATGCTCGGTACGAAAGTTCTTATGCTCCCTTGCCTCGTGAGCGCACATATTGTGTTCTTCAGCCATGAGTGACACAGCGGATTGCCGCGAAGGCAGCACCAATTCTTAGCGTCATCTCATTTTACCTTCTAATAAGCATGGAATGCAGAAAAACATACAGGCTTTATTTTGAACATGAATTATGGTGCACTTAAACAACAGCAGGACAGAAGTCCAAGAGACTGCTGTGCACAGCACCACTGAATGCCCACAAATCCGTGTGTTCTGCATGCCCCGCCGTGGTGGTCTGGTGGCTAAGGTACTCTGCTACTGACCCGCAGGTCCCGGGATCGAATCCTGGCTGCAACGGCTGCATTTGAGATGGAGGCGGAAATGTTGTAGGCCTGTGTGCTCAGATTTGGGTGCACGTTAAAGAACCCCAGGTGGTCGAAATTTCCGGAGCCCTCCACTACGGCGTCTCTCATAATCATACGGTGGTTCTGGGACGTTAAACCCCACCAATCAATCAATCGAGTATTCTTCATGTCTACAAAGCAGAGTGCCATACTGGTTCTCACAAGCAGTGGCGTGAATCCATAAAAATCACTAGAAGGGACACGCATCCTGCCGTGGTGACCATTTTGTTTTCATAAATATACTTTTGATAATTATGTAAAACTATAATCTTGCTTTCAAATATATTCATTTCTATAAAATCAAGCGTCTGCACTGGGTCAAAAAAATAGTAAAAGCGTACTTTGCATGGCAAAGTTAGTTTCAAGTTACGATCCCCAGGCAGACTCTAAAATATTTCTACCAGACATGCAAGCTTGTTTCCAGTCAAAATGTTAACAGTTTCTTGTTATATTGGTAAAATACAGCTTCGTTCCACATCATGTGTGTGTGTCGGTTAGAAATATATGAAACCTGCCACGACTTACCATGAAAAATTTCTCTTAAAGCCCTTTTACGCTTATGGGTGATTTCTTTTATTGCGACAGCAATTATATGGACACTCTCGACGAAATTTTGTCTCCATTGTCGGCGTCACGGTCATTCCCCATAAATGCATATGTACCATTATATATGAAAATGCAAGAAAGAAAAATAATCCAGAAAAAGACTCCGGCGCACGAAATCGAACGTCCGACCTCTGAAATGTGAGTGCGAGGCACTAACCACTGAGCCAAAAAGGAGCACCTCCAACGTTCAAATGGCAAGCTATTTATATCTGCCACTTACCGCTGGCGATGGGCATCTTGGGAAGAGGGCGGGGGAACTATCATGTTTTGAGCATTACCACGGAGATCGGCCAGACAGTCACCGCCTCTCTTATCTCACACGTGTACTTTGCCCCGCGGAGAGGGGGCAAGGCAGGCAATCACGGGTGTGCTCGCTAATCTCGCGGTGGGGAAAATCGTACGCCTTTGGTTTTCAGCAACGATTCTGTTGTAGTTACCGGGCACACAGAGGTCATTGACTCGTTGCACAATCTCCATTTGCGAAAAGAGAGCTCTTTTCAGACACAGTGAAGTTACAACTGAGACGAATAATCACGTTCATCTGTACGTACGTTTCGTGCGTCATTTGTGCGTAAGAATTGCGGGGCACGTTTCGATCTGCTTGCCATTCTGAGAGTGACCTTCCAATTGGTTGCTATTGCGTTGACTGCTTCGCGTTTGCGGCAAAGCTGTGACTCTCTAAAACACTACATAGTCAATAAATCTCATTCATACCTCATTGTGAATGGTTTTCGACAAATCGAATTGACACAAGTAAATAGCAGTGGATAATCTCATTTACTTTGCATTAGAAAGCCCAGCATAAAATTTGTGACACATCCTAAGTATCATTTCAGTAAGCGCATACTCCACAGTGCCTTTTAAACGAAAAGCAGCTTTTGCTTTCGTTCTTCTCTTCTGCTCAGTGTTAGTTTCATAAAGATAAATATGACTTTTCCAGAAATAAATTTCAAGGGGGGACACTCTTTCAGCAGCTTCTCTGTGGACTAAGAGTGAACAGACTACCCTTTCGCTTATTTGCGTCAAACGAATATCCTTCACGACAAACCTTTCCTATCACGAAGCAACCCCGATGATACTTAGATAAATGTACAGACATCAAGTAACTTTCTACACTAAGTACTAGCATCAAGTGTCTGGTAAAGAGTTCACAACAGGCTTTGGGAAGGTCACTTTTCCAGTTTATGCTGAAACTGTGGTGCATATTACACGCCAGTCTGGAGTCTTTTTTTTTTTCCGAAGCACAAACATTAGAACCTATGTCAACATTTGTGTTTGGCATTCAGCATGCCTCTCTACATCCAAGCATAATTTAGAAGACAAAAAGAGAAGAATTTATTTTAAAGCTATAAACTTATGGGAGATACGGAATGTTGAATAACTAGAAATGACAGATAATAACCAAAATTATAACATATTATTTTCTTTCCCTTTTGCAAGTAAGATGTTAGGTGTCATATGTGGCACATCACATGGTAAGTAAGGTCCAACGATAACAGCCCAAAATAGCACAAAAGGTGCAAATTTTAAATAAAATCAACTTGCCTCACTTAGGTGAAATTCCACTACAAGATTCTCTGCAACTATGTCTCCAGCGAGCAGAATTTCAGACTGCACCTTGTCAACTTGTTCCCAATACTGCAAAAAAAAATCAATTTCAGTGAACAATGTGGAATACATTTCCAACCTGCAAGCATGATGTTACAATGATAATCGTTGATGTAATCTGTTCTGCTCTAATATACCTCTCCTACCAAGAAAAGAGCACAGTACCTAGCATATTAATTAAATCAATTCGTTAAAAACAACCTAAAACTAAAAGAAAAATAAATTTTAGTTTACACTTTGCGCTCAAAAGTTTCATTGATGAAAAAATATATGCACACACAAAATACCCTTTATTTATGATACCTTTGGCTGGTTGTATCCAACCAGCAAGGGTGCAACAGCTGAAATAAAATTTGGAGTGATTTTGGAGCAGCGAAATGTTACTTTTGAAGCACTAAAATTAAAATTTGGAGCAAATTAAGGTGAAAAAAAAAGCCATTTTTGTCACAAAAGACCAAATTTCTAGCAGAATAAAGAAATCTGACATAAAATGTATAAACCATTCAACATCACCTAAATTGTGCAGTGTGAACATAAGTGCTGCTATTTAAAAAAGATTGGTAGATCCCACATAGAGTGGAATCGATAATATGCAAAGCAGGAGTGAGGAAGGCTAATATGTCATTTTAAGATCAGCAAATGTTATGAGGCGGACGTAAATTATGCCGCACATGACTTCCATGTCATGATTATCATGTTTGGACGTGCCATTCACTTTCGTCGTCCATTCACCTCACAATACCAAATTTGGTATATGTGGAGCTAGTGAAAGGCCGCAGGCACACTATGAACGTAGCTTGTAGTCATGTTCTTACATGACACGCATATCATGATTATCATGTTTCCAGTCATCCATTCACTTTAGTCATCCATTCACGTCTTGTAACACCAAATATGTGAAGCAAGGAAAACGACCCCGAGTGCACTATGAGTGTAACATGAAGTCACGTTTTACATGACATGCATGTTGTGATTAACATGTTTTGACGTGTCATTTATCTTCGTCGTCCGTTCACGTTGCGTAATGCCAAATTCGGTGAATGTGAAGCTAGCAAACGGCCACGAGCGCATGATGAGCGTGGAATGTAGTCATGTTTTTACATGACACACATCTCTTATCACGTTTGCACCAGTCGTAAAGGTTCATCATCTATTCCTGTCCCGTAATACAAAGTTTGGTATATGTGAAGCTAGCGAAACGACCGCGAGCGCACCATGAGCGTGGCATGTAGTTATAATTTACATGATATGCATGTCATGATATTCATGTTAGGGTCTGTCTCCTACAATTACCATACAGTTATGTCATACCATACCATTTTTGCAACATGTGATGCGAACGAAACCACTGCAAGAGCTGCAAGACCATGAAATGTGAATCATCATAATTCATGACATATATATCATGATTTTCATGTTATGAATAGTCAAATATGCTTATCATACAGTTATGTTATGCCATACCTATTTTTGTATTGATACCATTATTGAAACGGCCAGGAGAGCTAAATGTTGGATGTATATATGTATGTATGTATGTATGTATGTATGTATGTATGTATGTATGTATGTATGTGTGTATGTATGTATGTATGTATGTAGGTAGGTAGAGGAAGGTAAATAGGCAGGCAGGTAGGTAGGTAGGCAGGTAGGTAGGTAGGTGGTAGGTAGGTAGGTAGGTAGGTAGGTAGGTAGGTAGGTAGGTAGGCACTAGATACGTGGTAGGTAGGTAAATACCTAGGTAGATAGGCAGGTACATGGTAGTACATGGTAGGTACATGGTAGTACATGGTAAGTACATGGTAGGTATTTGAATAGGTAGGCAGGTGGGTGGGTGGGTAGGTAGGTAGGTAGGTAGGTAGGTAGGTAGGTAGGTAGGTAGGTAGGTAGGTAGTAGGTAGGTAGGTAGGTAGGTAGGTAGGTAGTGTAGGTAGGTAGGTATAGGTAGGTAGTAGGTAGGTAGGTAGGTAGGTAGTAGGTAGGTAGGTAGGTAGGTAGGTAGGTAGGTAGGTAGGTAGGTAGGTAGGTAGGTAGGTAGGTAGGTAGTAGGTAGGTAGGTAGGTAGTAGGTAGGTAGTAGGTAGGTAGGTAGGTAGGTAGTAGGTAGGTAGGAGGTAGGTAGGTAGGTAGGTAGGTAGGTAGGTAGGTAGGTAGGTAGTAGTAGGTAGGTAGGTAGGTAGGTAGGTAGGTAGGTAGGTAGTAGTAGGTAGGTAGGTAGGTAGGTAGGTAGGTAGGTAGTAGGTAGGTAGGTAGTAGGTAGGTAGTAGGTAGGTAGGTAGGTAGGTAGGTAGGTAGTAGGTAGGTAGGTAGGTAGGTATAGGTAGGTAGGTAGGTAGGTAGGTAGGTAGGTAGGTAGGTAGGTAGGTAGTAGGTAGGTAGGTAGTAGGTAGGTAGGTAGGTAGGTAGGTAGGTATAGGTAGGTAGGTAGGTAGGTAGGTAGGTAGGTAGGTAGGTAGGTAGGTAGGTAGGAGGTAGGTAGGTAGGTAGGTAGGTAGGTAGGTAGGTAGGTAGGTAGGTAGGTAGGTAGGTAGGTAGGTAGGTAGTAGGTAGGTAGGTAGGTAGGTAGGTAGGTAGGTAGGTAGGTAGGTAGGTAGTAGGTAGTAGTAGGTAGGTAGGTAGGTAGGTAGGTAGGTGGTAGTAGGTAGTAGGTAGGTATGTAGGTAGGTAGGTAGGTAGGTAGGTTAGGTAGGTAGGTAGGTAGGTAGGTAGGTAGGTAGGTAGGTAGGTAGGTAGGTAGGTAGGCAGGCAGGTAGGTAGGCAGGCAGGCAGGCAGGCAGGCAGGCAGGCAGGCAGGCAGGCAGGCAGGCAGGCAGGTGGGTATGTAGACAGATTTCTTAGTCACCAAAGTTCACTATGAAATGCTTCACATTCAATACGTGTTATTTGGACCACACCACTGAGTAAACAATGCAGTCCCCATTAGCATTTTCCATGCCTGTCAAATCCTTTGACAAACTCTGCGAATTCAAATGTGGATCTACCAAGCTGGCAATCTTGACATTCGGGGCATTCATGAGACTGACGAGTAGAGATGGCGAAAAAAAGAAACAACTGGTGCACAGTTTTTTTTTCTTTTTTTTTTCTTAGCGCTGCAAAAATGATTGCAAATAACTTTGAGATGTCAGGGATCATACTAGTGCTCACAATTATGTGGGAAATATACATGATTAATTGAACAAAATGTGTTGCGCTTTGTGACTAATGCAAATAGCCACTTGTTGATTGATATGTGGGGTTTAACGTCCCAAAACCACCATATGATTGAGAGACGCCGTAGTGGAGGGCTCCGGAAATTTCGACCACCTGGGGTTCTTTAACATGCACCCAAATCTGAGCACACGGGCCTACAACATTTCCGCCTCCATCGGAAATGCAGCCGCCGCAGCCGGGATTCTAACCTGCGACCTGCGGGTCAGCAAAATAGCCACTTGTTGATCACAGGGCACCGGTATATTGCGGCAAACAAGCAGCGTTCTGCACGAACTATAACAACGCCAAGAAATTTCGATCCCGATATTGTTATGTTTACCGCACAACTCAGCTTGCTTGCAAGGTGCGTTCGACCAGATAAAGAAACAACGATGCATGCGCGTTTGCAGATGGCCGATGTGGCCTCCATTTCTCGCTGAAATTAGCGCAACTAAGAAAATTTTGAGACTGGTCAGGCGTTTTGTCGCAGCATAGAGCAATTTCAGCAAATCCCATGGTTTTCGTGCAGCTCAGTGCAAAAATAGGGACTTCCATCGAATTGGCACAATTGGCGCAGCTGTTGCACCTCTGATTCAGCCAAATGTACCATAAACATCTTTTCCAGCGATGGCTCAATTTTTCTCCTGTCTGCTAGGCTGTGCATTTTAGCACTACAATGGCATAAAAAAACTTCATTGCATGATGCCTAAACAGCAAAAAGATGAGTCTCAGTGAGTAAGTTTTCTTCCATTGACACGTGGGACAAACAGACATTAGTGTCTGCATTTTCTATATTGATGTGCGTTCTGACGTTAAAGAAATGCTCTGCGCAGATCTATATGGATAAAAAGCGGTTTTCTGGTAATAAAACTGGTTGTTAGAAAGCATGCCATGTGTGTCTCTCCACTTCTTCCGCATGTTTTTTTGCACCTCATAAGCATGAACACGTTTCAACTAGGTCGGATAGCAGAATGGCTGCTATGATTTTTGCTCAATCTGCAAATATCTTGCATAAGTTGAGCACATTTTTTTATTGTGCACAGTGATGCACAACTTATCCACTTCGTGTCTGTATAATGTAAGGATACCTTTCACTTGACAGTGCTTGTCCCTGGCAAGAAGAAATTAAAGTGTCAAAACATGTTAGCCCTGAAAACTGTGCTTTATGACAGTATGCTTTTTGAAAATAACACTAGTGAATATAAACACAGAGAGAATAACTTTCGTTATTTCACTCTCTATCACACTTTCAAACTGAGAGCCACATATTACATTTCGCAGTGCCAAGTAGCAGTACCGTGAACATTATTAAAAGAGGAAAATTTTATTTCCTTACACAAGTGTCAATCAGTTGCAAACCGTCTGTTTTCAAGCAGGCTTGTCGAATGTCATCCCAAACACACTTCACCTCGTAAGCTTCTTCATATCGTTCTTGAGTGACTGCAGCATGATGTTTAACCTTTAAAATACGGATAAATATACAACAGAATTAAAACTTGGCACAAACTGGCAGCTTCCTTAAAAAGTTGCATCATGACCTGAAACTTGCAACAAAGATAATTTCAACTGTGGCTGCACAAGACTACTCTCGCAACAATGAAAATAAGCAGTAAGATTCTGCAATCTGCATAATGTACCAAATCTTCTTGACAAGAATGTGAAAATTACGCTTTGTGCAGGTACCACCAGTGTTTGATTAGAAAATAAATCATTACTAGACAGAAAACTACAATTGCTGTGTGGCAGCAAGAATTCTTCATTTTATGCAAAATGCAGAAGTTTTTTCATCAACGTTAGCTGTTGCTGTAATTGTTTATACATGTTTTTTCTCCTTGAAATGAGCCATTGCACTAGGTATAGTTACTGCACAATAACAATACTAACAGCTACTCCTTGTCACACAAGAATATATAAATAATGTAAAAATTGACATAATATTATGTACTTTTAAAATATGGATAGCTGTTAAATATGCAGTAGCATAGGAAATGTACATGCATTCAGTGATAGAATGTCAACAGTTAGGCATAGGATAGAGAACCCATAGGGCTCCTAAATTGGCCTTTTCCTAGGCTGAACAGGACCACAAGTGGAGATCAAAACTGGTGGCTCTTGAACTCCGACATTGTCCGCCTCATGCCGGTAGGCAATCACGGAGGCCTGCATTCACGCCTCTACTTGGGGGAAACATTTGTAGGTTTGTGGCACCAGATGTCGCTTGGTCCGCACATGTCACGTTTTAGCCACCAAAAATCATGCCACGTGCCTCCTCGAGGCAGGCGCGCATGCGCAGACTACCTACCAGGAAAAGGCCCATTGGGCCAAATTGTCAGATGATATGCATGCTGACTGTGTGCAATAGCTGTCAGCTCAGAAGGACTTGAGATTTGCTAGGAGCTTTAGAACCGGTGTATAGAGCAAATTTACCAAGGTGACACATTAAAATGCACAACTATGTTAAATGCAAAAAGAAGACTTAAAAATACACATCTATTTTCACATGCAGAAAAAAAAGGTTAGAAATTAAAATTTATTTTTAGCACAGTTAAGAAATGTAGAAAGCTCTTGTTCAGGATGTGTGGTAACACAAAAATGGCAGGGAGGGGCATGAGCACCTATGCCTATCGCAACACCTGCCTAATCGGGCATCCCAGACAGACATATAAGTGGTCCAGAAAGAAGACAATTCATGAATATAATATACACTCACTCGCCACAAGCTTAGCAGAACACTCCCACAAGCAATCTACTCCATGTGCACAGAGCTCAAACTGGACTTGGTGCATGCAGAGAAAGACACTTGCAAACCGGCTACGTACCTCTCTGAGCTCGTTGTAAGTGCGCGATGTAACAAGGCGAGGCGCCTTTCTCCGAAGCCTATAAAAAATGTTATCCCTAGGAAGCTGAGGTCCTTTGGTCCAATCAATGCTGTCCCCCCTCAATACTATAATAAAAAACAATAGCATTAGTTAGAGATAACACTAGACAAGACATTGTACAAGCACAGAATAATAATGTTGGAAACACTAGCAGCAATTTCGCTGCAGTTCATGTGGAGTCAGGAACATATAGGTTTGATCTGCAAAGTACCTTTTTTGTCAATGTACATGTATTTCATACTGCAAGGACATTCAAGAACACATCAATATCTAACTGAGGAACTTGTTGGCTCCTGTTTAACTCTTTTGTGACCACAACACTCCAGGTGAGAATTTAATAATACGGGTGCTCCGATCAACTAGTTGCACCATCTAACCCAATCTATAAGCCCTAACGTTTTGTTTTCTGCATACTTAGTTGTTTTTACCGAGCAGAGGCGATTTTTAGCAGGGACTCAAACCTGGAAGTTCGCTTGGTTTTTTTTGCAAAAATGGCAGAAAAAATGCTAGCGAAACCATCTCAGGAATGCTATTTCTTGGACGATTCCATTGCGTCTCCAAGCGATTTTCTTTTTTGCTGTTTCTAGCAGAAGTGACCTTGAGGAAAATCTCAAATCATGAAAATATAGTTCAGATATTAAAAATAGTAGAACCGGCCGGGTTTGTAGTCATCTGTTAATCAGAATGTCACAATTTCTGGCCTATCATTTTTTTTTACTTCAATTGAAATATGATGTTTGCATTATTATATCTTTCATTCATACCATCTCATCAGTGTATGGTGAAAATTTGATGACATAACCTTTGACTAGCTGAGAGTAATGTACTGCCCAAAAGGGGGCTACCGGGCCGTAACCTCAGAGTAGTGTTGCAAAGTGAAGCGATATGTGTCACGAGAAAAATCAGTGTCTTTTGGCGTCTTTTTCACAGCGTAAGAAATAAACAGGACTTGTGTTCACAAAAGTAAGTGCACATATTTGTTTCTAGAAACAGCCTTATACTGATTGTGATGGTTCTTTGAGAATTGGTCACAGCTGCACAGGTGGTGTACTTAATTTGCCTGCTGTTCTGGGCATTGTTGAGCATGCATGACTACACTTCCCCAAAACAAGTACATTCAGAACAAATTCTACTGATTTAAGAAAAGTGGAGAAGACCCAAAAAGTGCTACAAGGACAAGAAATTTGACTACCAGAAAAATGCCACTGGTAAAGCCTGCTTTGCCCAGTGGCAAACCAACCCTATAAAAATACATTTTTTACATCTTAGAGCTTTCAGACATTGTCCCACCAATACTGATAGTGTCATGCACCTAAATGCATACATGGAGGGCACAAAAAAGGGGGGAGCCGCCCCCCCCCCCCCACCCCGACAGCTTCATGCGGTGGGGGGCACAGTCCCCTCTGAACCGGCCCGGAATATTTTCAAGAGCTTGGTTTAGGTCTCCCTCCATAAACAATGGTCTGTTGGCCGTCCTGAGTGGCGTCTATTTTACAGGCGGCTGTTTATACTAGGTTTTTGTCATTTCAGGCTTTTAAAATTGGGATCATAAACCAGTGAAAGCCAAACTTAAGTTAAAAATGTCCCTCAGGTGAATTTGTAGGTGCACAATTTGTTGTGTTGACAAACAACTGAAGCAACATCTTAACCTATGAGAAGCTATAATTTTTGACTATTTAGCAACTGGTATCAGAACGTAAAAATGCTGCTGAGAGCAGAAAGCCTTCTCAACATAATTACCCTCACCAGAAAACAATCTTTGGCATAGAAAATCTTGACAGCAGCATTCGAAAGGTTGTATAGCGGTAAAAAATAACATTCTCAAGAGTCAGAGAATTATTATTGGCCTTTTTAAAGCGACATTACACAGCAAAACAATTTTTCATGTATTAGAAAAATAAAATTTCACGATTCTGAAAACACCACACTAACCGTGACACGGCGCTTGGTAAGTGAGATAAAGTATAAAAAGAAAATGCGGGTGGAGACACTACATTGAGATTCCTGTACAGAGCACCATTATGTCATAAATTTTAAAGGCTTCTACAAGATCTTACATAGCATCTTATCAATAATATTGAGGTACATTGTTGCTTATAACTGCCTCAGACCTAGCATACAAAGTTTCAAAAAATTTCTTTGAGCCAATGTCACGAAAATATAAATAATACATTTAAAAACTTTTGACTCACGCACGAAGAGTTTGGCATGAAATCTTAAAATGAAACTTCAACCTTAATTTTCTCCATGAATAATCATCTTATGGTAGCGAAACATATGGCTTCTAAAGTTCTCATAATGCAATTTTTCAATTAAAACCACATCATTGTTTCTTTTTAGTGTCCCCTTGAATTTAAATCACAAGCATAATTAAAGCATCCTGATTGATTGATATGTGGGGTTTAACGTCCCAAAACCACCATATGATTATGAGAGACGCCATGTGGAGGGCTCCGGGAATTTAGACCACCTGGGGTTCTTTAACGTGCACCCAACTAGTTCAGATAATGTTGTAGGCACACGAGCCTACAACATTTCCGCCTCCATCGGAAATGCAGCCGCCGCAGCCGAGATTCGATCCGGCGACATGGAATTAAAGCGTCTTGTGCCAGTATTAGCCCGCTCTCTCAATTCTGATGCATAATTTAACAAAGTACCGCATACCAATAAAAAACTTCGGACAATCCCACACATTGTGGGGGTTGATCTTATGCCCATTTTTCGTTTTGATTTAAGCGTCACGAGACAGATTGACGTCAGCGTAAATTGAAAAATAACTCTGAAGTCTCGTTCATATATATATATACATATATATATATATATATATATATACACATATATATATATATATACACAATTAACTAGAGGGGACTCTGGCACTGCGATCCGTTAGCGACCATGAGAATAATGGGTAGTACATAGATTTGCCTAGTCTTCGTGCTTGCAGGCTTCGAACGCACTTGTGGCTTCACTTATTCCAGTGTTTCAGTTTTATTTCGAATAAAAAAACAAGCACTTTCGAACTTCGCAACCCTATTTGATTAGGCAAGCCTAAAAGATTAATGTGGGACACGCAAAGCCAAAAAAAACGAAAGTATGAAGATTAGCCAAATCCATGTACTACCGATCATTCCCATGCTTGCTGAAGCACTATGCGTTGCAGCTCCCTCTCGTGTATCTATAGAAAACAGTCTAATATATATATATATATATATATATATATATATATATATATATATATATATATATATACACACACACACACACACACACACACACACACACACACATACATATATATATATTTTTCTCTAATTCATTAAGCGAGGGTCTCGCACTGGCAGACTTGGTGCCTTCTTCAGGCTGTATACGAGGGACTATTGGTCAGCTGCCGGCTCGTAATAAGTTGACGTGCTACGTGACTCCAAACAGGCTCATAAAGAGTGCACCACACTCGCCGCCATGGCTACTGGTGGCGCTGACACTCCCACGTTTTAATTTACATATATACCAAATAAAGTGGCTGGGGAGATAGTCACCCTGATTGAGCATCGAACACGTTATTCGAACGTCGTAGGTTCAATTCCTGCCCACAGCAAGTTATCTTTTCACCCACGTTTCCTTCTTGACATTTACATTACAATTCGATCTCATAATTTCCCCTATACTTTCCTTAACATTGCTGTCGGTTAGATCTCATTATTGTTGTGTCAAACACTGAAAAACTAGCCCTTCTTTCCCTTTATATATATATATATATATATATATATATATATATATATATATATATATATATATATATATATATATATATATATATATATATATATGGTGAGAGAGAGAGAATTTGGATGAGCATGGCGAGCTCCACCCCGTCATGGAAAATGAAGGCGTCCTTGTAGCGTACACATTTAAATATTTTACTGTGTGAGCTGAAGCTGCACATTACCGGGTTTTTTGGTGGCATGTTCAGTGTTACTTCATATCTCAATCTTTTTTTCTGTGCTGCTATTTAGCATAATTATGTAAAGCACCTATGAACATACAGAAAATTTATTCCTCATCTTAAATATATTCCTTGCGTTCCTGTACAGTAAATTCACAGAGAAAGAATTATAACTGTTTAAACTAATGGAATAATGCAGTTTTCACTAGACAGCCAAAAAAAATTGGAACTGATATGGTTTTTAGCTAGATCATTCAAACTTCACTCTAATACAGGGAACTGTTGTTTGTCTATTCGAGACTATTTTTTTTTCTTTCGTCTTGAGAGCACAGTATTAAAAATGCTCTATGCAATGTTCAATTAATCTTGCTTTTCATAATTATTCTTGCGTATTTTATTATAACAAAAATTGTTCAATGTATTGCCATTTAAAAGTACAATCACTTAGCTTTACATTAATATATATCATTGCATTGTATCTATGTATCATATTATTCATAAGAAAAAATAACTAACACAACATACAAAATGTCACCAATTTCCCACGGTCACGAAAAAGTTAAGGTGTACGACTGGAGACAATTTATGAGCTCACTACATAAATAAAAGGAAATGAATATTTTCCCAGTATCTTCTGGCAGTGTTGCTTTAAAGAAATCTCCTTGGGAGTTTACATGAAATTGGTCACGCAGGAAATTGGAACTGGCGCAAGCAATGAGCGAAATTAAGCACGTCATTAGGCGGATGTACACAAGTCTAACTGCGCATTTCAGACAGGCGTCATGAGACCCGGTTTTAGTATATGGTACCCAGAGCATTGAGAACGCAATCAGCTTGGGTTGTCGCCAGTGAGTGCGCCAATTGGGTGTCTTACACCACTGTCACACGGTGCACTGCTGATCGCGATTAAGCCCGATCGAGAAGCTTGTTCAAGAGTGATCAGCTCCATTCTGCAGCTTGCGTAAAAAAAGTCAATCACGATCAAGCAACTCGATCCGTGTCAGGTCTGATGGCGATTAAAAATGACCGTGTGACAGCGGTATTCTAAAACTGACACGCTTACCTAAGCCCGACGAAACCTACACTTCAGCACTCTATTCTAAACACCCTATGCTAAACCTATCTGCCTTTTGGTCAAGCCCGGTACGTAATCTTAAAGGTTTTATACGACCGTTAAATCCCCCGAGTGACAGCCATATGAAACGTGAAATGAACGGCTTACGACTGATGAGCGTTTCCATCGGAGCCTCCATGGTGAGGCCTGTGTCTTAGCGTTCCTTAAACAAGCAAGCAAATTGCTGTAATCCACGTCGCACACAAGGGCAGGCGAGGGCACGTGCATAAAATAAAGAACCGGCAGGGTATGACCAGGGATCATACCTGGTCATAAATCTAACCTATCTCCCTCATTACCGCAGATGTCCATCAATCTCTGCAAATCTTCCTTGTTGTCGGCCATTAGCACTATATCATCTGCGTACATTTATGCTGGTAGTGCCTGATCAATGAGTTTTTCTCGTTTGACTAAAGAGAGGTTGAAGCCAAGTCCACTTCCCTCTAATTTGGCATCTAATCCTTGAGTGTACATCATGAATAACAAGGGTGACAGTGGACACCCCTGCCTAAGTCCCCGTTTCATCTCTGTGGGCTTGGATACCTGTTTTTCCCCCTTTATAACTACCTTGTTACTTTTATATATTTCCTTTAAAAGATTAGTGACTCCATCTTCCACACCCAGTGTGTCTAGTGCGGAAGATGGAGTCACTAATCTGTCTGGAAGACAGATTAGTGACTCTATCTGTGTCTAGTGTAGTGTGGAAGACTCAAGGAGGATACATAAAACATGCCGGAGTGGAAGCCGCCTATGCGCCGCTACGGGAGAGAGTGAAGCCGCGCCGAGCGTGCGGCGGCCATGTTGCCAGTGGCAGAAAAGAGCCGAGCGCTGCAAATTTATGCCTCATCGCGCTGCGTTGCCTCATACTTTTAATTTATGCCTCATACGCGCGAAAATGCACGCGACAGCGACGCTAAGAGCGACGAAACATGGCGTTCGCGCGACGTGTCGCGTGCCCATTTTCGCGCGATCGCTCGGTTTTCCAGATTTGGAAACCGTCGCTCATCGCCCGGAAGTGCTGGGCTCAAGCAGCCAATAGCGAAAAACCGGAAAAGACAAAGACTACATAGGTGCACGTGACCCAGCCCGAGTCACGTATGCGCAACAAAAAATAACGCAATGTTTATTACGCATGTGCATATAAAAAAGTGCTGCAAGGCAATAATAAACACTTTCCGTTCTACTACACAACAATATATCTTATTTTTAAATTGCATATCGCTCGCTACGCGGTTTTTTTTTTTTTTTTTTTTTTGGTGCGAGTAGACGGCCTCATGCCAGCAACAGTGGAGTTCGCTCGCCGAAGCCTGCGCTAGCGACTGATCGCGCGAAGACGATCTACGTCGCGTCGCTCGTCGCTGTCGCGTGCATTTTCGCGCTTATGAGGTTTGGCCCTGAGTCGTGTGTTTATATAAAGCAACGAAAACAAGTAACTCTGGTTGTAAATGTTTATTGCGACTTGTACGCAGCCAAGTAGAGAACTCAAATAAATTGCATATGCATCAAATAGCGATGCCTAAAGCAAACACATCATCGAAAACATAGGTGCCCTACTGGTGGTTGAAAATTATTGCCCTTGCCAAAAGTGATCCCACCTTACTTTTGACCGATTCTCGGTTTTTTTTTTTTTTTCCTTCGTCATGTGTTGTATCCTCACTTCTACGTATTGTTCGGCGATTTGCCTGCACAAACTGTAAACCTTATTATCAAGCGTATCAAAGTCTAGGACGTGCTGCTCTAGTTTATGGAACCAGTTTTTCTCGGAGGAAGCTCATAGAACTTTCAGGATGAGGTGTTTTGCTCTTGACTTCACCGTTGTGATGGAATCACATTCAGCCTGTAGCCGCCTCATTCCTCGACTTCTTTACAGAGGCTAATGACATCTCGCGACGGTGAAACAAGACCACCTCGCCTCTTACATTTAATTAAAGGTGTCAGCTCATCTGAGTGCATGGCTGCTATACACTCTTCACAGGTAGTTGCAGTTCGACCTTTCGAACAATGAAGCCTGCTATGTATGGCACCACGGAACCGACAAAAACAGAAAAGCTTTCGGGCTAGTCAATGCGATGCGTATTGTCGTGGTTATCGGGCTGCAGGACTGGGGCCTTGCGCATGTCAGTGAGATTGCTTCTTGGATCTACCGTGGCTGCAGGAGTCGTTGCATTCAATACGGAGAGAACATCTTGGGAGCAGTGTCCAGAACTTGGAGACGTGACTTCTGTCTGAACCAATAGACGCTCGTATGCAGCCATAAACTGCGAAGCTGTTGGGTTGTGGTTATGGCCGCCTCATCCACGTATTGATTCAAAGAAGTTTTTGGCATAGTCTTGACTGAGTTTGTGTGTCAGTAAGTATTTCAGCTGACCCTGGCTGACAATTGTCTGTCAAACATTCTTTCCGTGCTTGCCATGCGTATCCAAAAACCAATGAACCCGTTTTTTTTTTCAGTCCTTTTGTCACTGTTGGATCTCTCAGCCCATTTATGTACGCTCGAGTCTCCGCAAAAAACGACTTCTAGAATGCTTCGTTCCCCTGCCGAAGGGGCGCTTTGTACGACCTTGCCAGCGGGTTCCTGGAGTTTTAAGATGTCAAACAAGCGATCAAAAGTTCTAATAAACGTAGATATTGTGCTGGCACCCTTGAATTGCGGCAGCTTTAGCTTTTGTTCGCAGAAGTCCAAAGCGTCGGCAACTGAGGCACTCGATCAGTTGTACAGCATATCATATACCTTCATTTTCTTGCTTTTCCCATTGGACGTGGACTTTCGTAAGTTTATTTCCGAGCCACAACCCTTCTTCACGTTGAAGTGCCTTCAATGCCACTTCATAACCCCATTTCACATGCTTCCCTTCAATGTCAAGGAGGTGGTCAAAGCACTCTGGCGCGAAGTGCACAGAGCGAAGTGATCTCAGTCTTTCGCATTCGACTCCTCACAGCGAGGCTCCGCGTTACGGGATCTTTAAGAAACCTGTAAAACAAATCCGGACTGTTATGTTTTGCACGCTTAGATCGCGTCAGCTATAGCTCCCTTTAGTAACGAGCGCGGAATGGCTATGTCGAAGACGTTTTCGTGTACGTACAAGTGGAATGTGAGGCCACAACCTTTTTTTCAACCTGTTGGCACATCCGTGAACGACGCAAGAGGCAACCAATGTAAACCATTTGCCTTTACATGCCGACAAGGTGAAACAAGAACGGACGAAATCAGCAGCTCGCGATGGCACTGAGCACGCTTTTTGCCACTGGCTAAATGGCGGCGGCTGGCTTCACTCGCACAGCGTCCCTTCCACTCCAGCAAGTTTTATGTATCCTCCTTGGGAAGACTCCGTGGTGGAAGATCACTCCAGCTTCCCCACCCGCGCTGCTGCCATCAGCGCCCCAAGCGGTATCGGCGCGCCGAAGGGCCTTCTCCGGCAAACAAAAAGCGTCGCGCTCATTCATTCATCACACCTCCCCATTCTAGCCACCCTACTCTGGCGCTGCGATCGTACAGCGACCATGGTACAGTACACTGTAACCATGGGGATGATTGATGAGTAGCATAGAGTTTGAGTAGTACACACATTTGCCTAGTCTTCGTACTTGCGGCTTCGTTTATTGCTGGTTACAGTTTTGTTCTGAAATAAAGAACGAACCCTTTTAAACTTAGTGAGTTGATTCGAAATGGTAAGCCTAAAAAAATAAGGCTTTGAAGCGCAACCAGTGAACATTTGCTAATTTATGTTTTTGTGAAAAAACAGCTCCAAGCCACACGAACACACGCGGAGCCAGAAGCAGGCCAGAAGTACGAAAATTAGACAAATGTGTGTACTACGGCCATCATTCCCATGCTCCCTGAAGCGCCGTGTTACAGTGAACTAGAAGGTTACAGTGAACTAGAAGTATTCTAGTTCACTGTAGCCGTGTGTTTCAGCTCCCATAGACACTAGCGCCAGAGTTCCCTTTAGTGTATAATAATAAACTCTATGCCTGCACACGGCCGGACTCGACGCTCCTTCCGCACGCTCCTTACGGCCTTCTCAATACCGGCGCCGCGCATATATTTTTTTTCTGACGCGTAGAAGGCAGCACCACCTCACTGTAAGCTCCGCCGGCTCCCCGCGTCGCCGACTGCGACTTTTCTTGACTGCGTTCGATGGCCTCGGGCAAACAATGCATCAGACACGCTCAGGCACGCTAACTGCACTAGCGTAGCCATGCTTGTTGCGTGCCGCTGTGTAAGTCACAGCAAGGGAAGACGCCGGGTGTGTCGTGCCACCAATTTCCTAGCGATGAGGAACTGTGTTCGAAGTGGAGGAAAAATGTTTCACGTGAAAACCTCGTCATCAATGACAAGTCCGCATCGACTGTAGTGTGCCGCAAACACTTCACGGAAAATGACTATGTTCCCGGATATCGTATCCGGAAACTGCGTCCAGGAGCCGCGCCCACGGTCTTCGATCAGAATCCTTCGTATATGGTCCCGGCTACGAAGAGGCCGCGTAAAGAACCTGCAGCGCGTGGCCCCTCGGCTCCTCGACAGCCGACGAAACGGAAAGCGGAGTCATCTCCGTCTACCTACGGGAAGTTCTAGTCCACCTTACGACAAAATAAATATTGATTTTTCTCTCTGAATTTTTTGCGCTGTAATGGATTACTGTTGCTTGTGACAACACGCGTGTGCGAAAATCCGGGAAAGCTGTCGGAATGGTTGCGACTGGGTAAGCGGTGCTCTCAGAGGTCGACTATACCATTTTAACCTCATCACATGCAACGACCGAGCTGTATTGTGTGGATAAAACGTTCATCTTCAAGAATTCAGGCACCGCAGTTGGTTCTGTTCCTCGTACTCAGCGCTGTTATGATGGCAATAGCGCTGTGGCGCGCACACTGCGCCCGTGAACGCGCTTGGAGGCGGCGGATGGATGGATGGATGGATATGGCTGTACCCTTTAGATCGGGCGGTGGCTAGCGCCACCAAGCCGTAGTACTTAATGAATCCAAAAGTATATTTAGTTTTTTTTCCTTAAAAAGTGAGTTTGAGGATTTGTACTTTGCAGTGAAGAGTTTAATTTTCACTCGTGCCTTGACTTTAGCCACCAATCAGATAACCTCCTTCTAGTTAAGTCTACTTGCTTAAAGTCTATTTTGCCCTCCCGGTCCCTAAACTCCAGTGCTTTGAAAAACTCTGCGCCATCATCCTGAACTATAGGGTAAAGCCCTTTACAGAACATTATCAAGTGTTCGGCAGTTTCTTCTTCCTCTCCACA